AAAAAAAAAAAAAAAAAAAGAAATCCTGCCCAGGTAGTGAGCAGGGATACTTTGGGAAGTGAGCCCCCTCTCATTCTCTACTACTCTTGACTGTAGGTGGCCTTTCAAGGGACTTCACTGCACCAGAGAGGATGGGCAAGGCATCTGTATTTCCCAGGGCCTCACCCCAGGACCTCCTGGGCCTCTGTTTCTCAGAGACCCACCCCTGCCTGGGATTCTGTCTGCCAGCATCCAGTCGTCACTGCTTCTGGCTCCAGGAGGCCTTTATTCTTAAGGTTATTGGAGGGATAAGTACTATTTCCTCCTACTTTCCAATCTTACTGGGAAAAAAAAAGCCAACTCTAGCCTGAGGCTGGAAGATGGTGCCTGCTAATGCGGGATTCACCTTGCACAGGCTCCATCCTCCCATCCTGTGTTACCTGAAACACCTCCTCCTGGGAATCCTCCTGGGCATCCTCCCATCCACTCCTCACTACTATTTTTGTGCCCAGTTCTTACTCATCCTTTCAGGCCCATCTGGGTGTCCCTGAACTACAAGACTGGGTCGACAGCACCGGCTCAGTGCCTCCTGAGTGATGGCACTTCTGTCACCCTATTCCATCACCCTAATTGCCACATGTTACTGAATAATCTTTGTTTCTTTCAATAGATTGTAGGCCCTTGAGAATTTGTTAAATCTATAGCCCCAGAATCTGGCACATGCCTGGCACACAGGCATGTAAATGCTTACTAAACTAACTGTTGGACCCATTCAGTGCCATGGTAAGAACACAGACCCAGTCATCACTTACAATCTGTGTCACCTGGGGCCAGCAGTTCAACTAGCTCTCTGGGACTTACACTGCTTCTCTCTAAAATCAGAGTAATCATAGCACTTATGTCATTGGAGAGGTTGTGAGAATCAAAGGGGTTTATGTATACAAAGCACCAATGGTAAGGATTCAATAAACGTTACTTCTTAATCTTTCAAGACCATTTACTGAGGCCTGGGATGAAGATGTACTCTTTCCCTCCCTTGCTCTCCGTGGGCCTCCAGGCCTTCCATCCTTCTTACTGGGAGGTCAAAGAAGCCCCACTGGCCACGCTTCCCTGGGGAATTCTGCACTAGGGTTTCTCTCTGGTCACCTTCATTGGTCAGATCTAGGCTCCTGAAAGCAGGGAACAGATCTTCTGCTTCTTTCCTTTCTTCCTGGAGCCTGGCAGTGTGCCAGGGACAGAGCAGGGGCTCAAGAAATACTGGTTCCCAATCTACAGTAGACTGGACGTGCAGCTAGGATGGTTTAGCAGAAGAGTGAGGGAGGAAGTGGAAAAGGAGGGAAGGTTGCCCCGCACCGCAAGCCCGTGCTGCTCAGGTGTGTCTGAACTTGATGTCTCCTAATTTCCATTGAACAATCTCCCACGAAACCCTTTGTGTTTTAGCAGAAGAGCTTTCAGAGCTCTAGGGTCTGGGCTGTACTAGGTGTGAAAAGAACGAAATGAGGGGCTTTGAGAAAGTAAAATGAGAATTACAAAACCACGTAGTGAGGACATGCCCTGAGGACTTAGTGAAATGAGGCAAGACATTTCAGGAGCACAACCCTCAGGAACATTCTGCTCTCCACTGAGCATCTCAGATTGGGAGGCAGAGGAGGAGGTTGAAGGTGGAAGAGGCCCCTGGAATCAGGTCCTGAAGCCCTCTCAGTGGGGCCTGGTGACCTACAAGGACGGAGTGAGCATCGTCAGGACCCCGAATAGGTGCCTGGGGGTGGTGGCACCTGCAAGGCAGATTTCAGGGGCTGGGGTGTGGTAGTGGGAAGTGCACCATTCTGCTGAACGCATGGGGTCTGCAGAGACATGGCGCTAAACTCCACAGCCCACAGCAAATGCGCGTTGGTTTCCACCTGTTTCCCTCGTGGCCCCCCGCTTCCTTCTCTCTGGCCGCCCTCAGCCCGGCCCCACTTGCCTTTGGCCGTGACAGAAATGCCCATGGCGGCCTCGCGCAGCATGCTTCTCTTCTTCCACTTGCCCTCATCGATGTTGTACATCTCCACGACCTTCAGGGGCAGCTGATTGGTGCCCACGCCCCCAACCACCATGATCCGCTTCCCCAGGGCGGTGACGGCCACCCCCGCCCGGGCTGTGGGCAGCGGGGGCAAGGTGGTCCACTGGTCGGCCTCGGGGGAGTAGACTTCGAAGCTGTCCATGGGGACGCCGTTGTCGTCACATCCCCCGATGGCATAGACCTGGCCCCCGGTCTCCAGAAGGGAGCTGTAGACCCGGCGGCTGGGCAGTGGCGCCAGGCGCTTCCACTGGAAGTCCTTGACGTTAGGCACCTCCATGGCAGCCTCAGGGAGCGCCCAGGCGCCGGGGGAGGTGCGAGCGCGGGGGTCCACCGGCTACCTGGCCCCTCTCGCCACCTCCATCGAGCTCCCAAGCGCCGGCTCCGGCCAGACGCCGGCCAGCGCTTCACCTTGCCCCGAGTCTCAGCGGTCCGGCGGCGTCCGCGCCTGTCCCTGCAGGAGAAACGCGGCGAATCAAGGGCAGCCGGAGCCACGCGCCCTCCCGCGGGCACTGAGCGGGCTCCGCAGCCCCTGGCCAACTTCACCAGGAAGACGCGGCGGCGGAGGGCGCCCCCCGGCGGCAGCACCACGCCCTGCACCGCTTGGTCCCCGCGCGCCCCCCGCTGCCCCACGCATGCAGCTCGTACACCGCCGGAGCGCGCCGCGGGCCGGGGCTTTCAGGGCTTCGGGGCGCCCGGCAGTCCCCGGGCGGAGAAAGGAGTTAGCATCTTTGGGCGTCGACGCCTCCCTTCCCCCGCGCCCCCTCCCCGCAGTCTCGGCGCCTCCGCCCCCGCATCACTTACGTTGCCAGGCCCGGGGAGCGCGGCGGCGAGGCGCAGACGACGCATCACAGGGGAGCCCGGAGTCCCCGCCCGGCGGCACCGGAGCAGGGGAGAGGGCGCTCTGTCCTTCCCCAGTCCGCGCGCCGCTGTCACACATGTAGATGAGGAGATGAAGTGAACAGCAGGAAGGAGAAGCGGAGCCGCTGCCCGCCGGGGAGAAGGCCTGCGAGCCCGCTCGGTCCCTACCCGCAGCCGCCACACCTGTGCAGGAATCCGTGTGCGTCCCGGGACACACGTGCTGTGACCTCTTTACAGAAGCCCCGCCGCGTGGGTCCCCGGGGGAGCACTCACCTTGTCTACAGGGTCAAGGAAAGCAGGGCATTACAACCAAGTACCCAGATGACGGGCACAGACTCCCTCTGGTGTGGGGGCGGGCTTTTGTGTTTGTTTTGGATGAAGAGGCAGAGACTCCAATTACCCAGTTTATCTACAGTACACAGACTCAGTTCGCGACAGGCTAACCCAATAGCCAGCTTTGCTTGTGGGGAGGTATCATGCAGTTGGAATGGAAACAACTTATGTGGGTGTGATGCACGCAGACCTGGCACAGGTACTTTCAGATATAAATGTACACCCTCCTGCACATAGATGCATAACTTACACATCATTCTCCTCCCTGAAATAGACACATCCACAGAGACACTGACCAATGAGACAGACACATGGACACAGCTAGAAACACCAACATAGACAAACACACATGGGCAGTTTTTCCATCTGCCACACACGTGCACAACCCACCATGGCCATCAGCACCCTGCACAAGCTTCAGGAAGGGGAAACCTGATGATCACCATGCCCGGCTAATTTTTTTTTGTATTTTTAGTAGTGATGGGGTTTCTCCATGTTGGCCAGGCTGGTCTGGAACTCCTAACCTCAAGTGATCTGCCTGCCTGGGCCTTCCAAAGTGCCTGGATTACAGGTATGAGCCACCACACCCAGCCAGAACTATTATATCTTGACTGATCAATTTCGAAACCCTGGTTGTGATATTTACTGTTATAGTTTTGTAAGATGTTACCATTCGGAGAAACTGGGTATGAGTTTCCCCAGTAACAAAGGTGTTTATGAGACCAGAGAACCACCTGGTCTGGTGGACTGCAAGGCAGATTCGATCCTCCTTCTACCTGGTTCCCTCAAATGTAGCCAAGTCTTGAAACACCTGAGCTTGGGAGGCTGGAAGACCTGGGTTTGAATCCTGCCTCTGAAACATATTTAACTACTCTGAGCCTAAGTTTCTTATACAGATAGATAGATAGATCTATATCTATATATTTTTTAAACTAGAGTTTTAATTTTGAGATAAATTTTAGATTCACATGCAGCTATAAGAAAAAATACCCTTTACCCAGTTTCCCCCAATGGCAACATCATACAAAACTATAGCACAGTAAATATCACAACCAGGGTTTTGAAATTGATCAGTCAAGATACAATAGTCCTGGCTGGGTGCAGTGGCTCACACCTGTGTAATCCTGGCACTTTGGGAGGCCCAGGCAAGCAGATCACTTGAGATCAGGAATTCCAGACCAGCCTAGCCAACATGGTGGAACCCCATCACTACTAAAAATACAAAAAAATTAGTTGGGCATGGCTGGGCCTGTAGCCCCAGCTACTCGGGAGGCTGAGGCAGGAGGGTCGCCTAAGCCTGGGAGGTGGAGGTTGCAGTGAGCTGAGATTGTGCCACTGCACTCCAGCCTGGGTGACAGCATGACTCCATCTCAAAAAAACAAAATGAACCTCCCACCCCCAAAATTATACAATCGAGGCCAGGTTTGGTGGCTCATGCCTGTAATCCCAGCACTTTGGGAGGCTGAGGCGGGTGGATCACCTAAGGTCAGGAATTCGAGACCAGCCTGGCCAACATGGTGAAACCTCATCTCTACTAAAAATACAAAATTAGCTGTGTGTGGTGATGCGTGCCTCTAATCCCAACTACTCAGGAGGCAGAGGCAGGAGAGTCACTTGGAGCAGAGGTTGCAGCAAGCTAAGACTTTGACGTTGCACTCTATCCAACAGTCCCATCTTACTACTTTGAGTACTTGGCTTAAAAATTCCACTGTTTTTTAGTTTGTATTCTCTGTACTGACAAAGTAAGCACCTCTAGAACCTTCACAGAGGAAGGCTGTGTCTGTTTCCCTATTTAATCAGAATTCATAAATTCCAAAAGAATGGGATGTGAATTAATGAAATTTCATGGAAACACTGAACATTTTCCTTTCTTCCTAGGAGTCTCTGTCTGCCTGGAGGAAGAGGAACAAACCTTTACCTCAGTGTGAACTGTCTTCACAAAATCAGAACGGGTGATCAGGAAGATTTAAAAGCCATAGACCTTCCTCAAAAGGGCTTGTTGGAGTCCATCCTCAGCCTCTTTTGCCCAGTCAACCTTCTGCTAAAGCAGTGAAGCCAGGCTTCTTAAATGAGCCCTCACCACCACAGCTGGGGCAGCTTAGTAAGCAGATAGACAGAGCTCCCCACTCTGTGCGTTACGTTGGTGTCACTTGTTGAGATCATCTAAGCCCTTGCACATCCATTTTCTCATAATCTTAAAACAGCCCTGGGAGGGGTTGTCAGGGCAGGTATCAGTATCCACTTTTTACAGATGAGGAATCTGAGCCTTAATGAAATGAAATGACTTACTTAGGACCATGCAGGCCATTCAGGGTAGGTCCAAGGTATGAATTCCAAATCCGGCGCTCCCTCACTTTATCACAATTAAATCACAAATGAAGGAATTGTGCATTATAAAGGCAGCCAACCGGGTCCACTGTCCACCTGGCTTCTGCTCTTTATTTCACTGCAGTGAAGAAAGGATCCCAGGCCCCCAGAGAGATTCCAGCGGCTGCCCATGCTGTTTGTGCCAGGCAGTGCAGGTAAGGAAATGCTGGAATCCAGCCCCAGAATAGGCCCCATTCTAAACTAAGGCTCATATCCCACAAAAACCCCCTTCTATGCAGACCGTGGGATCTGGGGACTCAGACCCTTGGAAAAGTACTAAGAACAGGATGTCTTCCAGACCATGACCTAATTGCTTGTTCTGGAAATCCTGGCCGCTCTCCATCTCCCTCATCTCTCTTCCTCTCCACCAGGTAACATCCTTTAGTCCTTACGCTGAGTGCACATCGAGGAAGCATGTAACCTAGCAACTGCCACTTAAGATTCCCTGAGTCACCTGTGGTTTTCACTGCCTGGGCTAAGTGCATCAGGATGGGGGCTTAAGGAGGGCCAAGCAGAGAGAGAATGTCCAGTGGCTCCTTTGATCCCTCCCCACCCTATTCTAGTGTGTAACCATTTTCCTTGTCAGGAAGTTCTTCCTCATGTCAAATCTTAATCCTTCTTGCTGTAAAATCTTGCATAACATTGAGCCTGGGTTTCTCTTTTGCCTTAAAAGGTGTTTGAGTTTTTTTAGGCTGGATGACTGGATGAGGTGGCTCATGCCTGTAGTCCCAGCACTTTGGGAGGCCAAGGCAGGTAATTGCATGAGCCCAGGAGTTTGAGACTAGCCTCAAAAACAGTGAGACCCTGTCTCTACAAAAAAATTAAAATTATCCAAGCTCCATGGCACGTAATCCTAGCCACTAGGGAGGCTGAGGTGGGAGGATCACTTGAGCCCAGGAGGTAGAGGCTTCAGTGAACCAAGATGGTGCCACTGCATTCCAGCCTGGGTGACACAGCAAGACCCTGTCTTTCTTTAAAAAAAAAAAAGTGAGGCCAGGCGCAGTGGCTCACGCCTGTAATCCCAACATTTTGGGAGGCTGAGGTGGGCAGATCACAAGGTCGGGAATTTGAGACCAGCCTGATCAACATGGTGAAACCTTGTCCCTACTAAAAAATACAAAAATTAGCCAGGTGTGGTGGTGAGTGCCTGTAATCCCAGCTACTTAGGAGGTTGAGGCAGGAGAATTGCTTGAACCCGGGAGGCAGAGGTTGCAGTGAGCTGAGATCGTGCCACTGCATTCCAGTCTGGGCAACAGAGTGAGACCTTGTCTAAAAAAAAAAAAAAAAAGTGTTTGATTTTTCCTCTTGGTTACAAGGTAGGAGTGAGAGGTTGGAGAATTAGGGGAGGGAAAAGTCATAAAAGCCTCTAAAGATTAGACCTTTGGTGCTGTGGAGTCTATTATAGATATTGATGCATCAGTCAAACTTGGGGTGCTCAGCCCCAGAAAAGTCACTCAGTATATTTAGGTTTTTTTTTGAAAATGATGGAGCCCAAGCTGGATTTGAACTCCTGGGGTCAATCATCTTCTTGCTTCAGCCTCCTGAGTAGCAGGGATTACAGGCATGCACCACCTTGACAGGCTCAGTAAGTCTTGGATATGTTGATGTCGAGTTTACATACAATAAAATGCACAGTTTTACTCAGTCTCTACTGTCTGGTAGGCATTCAGCAGGATCCTGCCTTTACCAAGCTGTGGTAGCTTAGGGGGAAGTTTGGGGCGTTGTGGGGGGACAGTTCTTCCCAATAAACCAGGCAGATTCTCAGTGTGGCAGGCCATGGATGGAGCGTTTCAAGGTCTGGTGGAATTCCAAGCGTAGGGAACGTTTTGAGGGATAGGAGGAAACGGGAGCTGTTTAGTGATTAGCTGCCGCAGGGACTCCTTATCCCTCCCCAGAAATACACTTTACCGGAATGCCCTCTGCAGGATACCACACTGGCTGGAGGGAGGGACACACCAGGAGCTCCCTGAGGCCAGGATCACCTTCTTCATGCAGTTCTCTTTCCGCAGCACCCCACAGACCGTGTGGTCAACATCAGACAGGCTGGATCTGAACCTGGTGCAGCCACTTCCCTAGCTGTGTGACTATGCACAAGTCACTTATGTCCTTGAATCTGAGTGTCCTCATCTGTGAAAAAGGGCATAAGAAAATCTACTTTCTAGAGTTGAAGGAGGAAGGAGATGCCAGGCATAGTTCTTGGGCCGGTGGTAGGCATCTCATAAAGACAAGTTTCTTCCTTCCCTTTGTGATGGCAAGTTTCTGTACCTCCGACTTTCAGGCTAGAGTGCCCCCAAAGCAGTTGTCAGTTTGCATAGATAGGCAACCTTACCAGGGCCCACAAGCGCCTGTAGCCAGTCATTTCTGGGCCTGTGTCTTAGGATATCTTTTCTCCTAGCTAGCTGAAATCTCATCTGCTGCAACCTAAATTGCATTCTAATCTGGAGAACAGCTGTGCCCTTCCTTTAGCTAATCACCTTCTCATTCCTAACCAGAAGCATGGTCTTTATTCAGGGAGTGGGGAGTGAGGCTGACTCATCCAATTAGGACCGAGGCTGCCAGCCGACAGAGGAAAGGGTAG